TTTTATTTATTTATTTATTTATTTTTTTGCAGGAAGAACACTCACAGGAAAAACCACTCACTGCCGAAGGAAGAACCACCAAATTTTTTTTTTTTTTTTTTTTGCAGAAAGAACGCCTGCAGGAAAAACCAACCACAGGAAGATCCATCGAAGAAAGAACAGCCGAAGGAAGAACCACCCACTTTTCTTGTTTTGCAGAAAGAACACCCGCAGGAAAACACCCGTAGGAAGATCCACCAAAGGAAGAACCACCTAATTTTTTTGTTTTGCAAGAACACCTGCAGGAAAATCCACCCGAAGGAAGACCTACCCACCTTTTTTTTTTTTTTAAACCCATCGAAGGAAGATCCACCCGAAGGAAAAACACCCAAAGGAAGAACCACCCACTTTTTTGTTTTGCAGGAATAACATCCGCAAGATAACCACCTGCAGAAAGATCCACCGAAAAAAGAACTATTCGAATGATAATGAAGAGCATCCGAAGAAAGAACCACCCACTTTTGTTTCTTTTTTATTTTTTGCAGAAAGAACGCCCACAAGAAAAACCAACCACAAGAAGATCCATCAGAGGAAGAACACCCGAAGGAAGAACCACCACCTTTTTTTGTTTTGCAGGAAGAACACCCACAGATCTACCTGAAGAAAGACCTACTTGGAGGTACCTGGAGAAAGACCTGCTCGAAGAAAGACCCACTCGAAGGTACCTGGAGAAAGACCCGCTCGAAGAAAGACCCACTCGAAGGTACCTGAAGAAAGACCCACTCGAAGATACCTGAAGAAAGACCCACTCGAAGGAAGAACACCCGAAGGAAGATCCACCCATTTTTTTGTTTTGCGGGAATAACATCCGCAAGAAAACCACCTGCAGAATGATCCACCCGAAAAAAAGAACCATTCGAAAAAAAAGCATCCGAAAAAAGAACCGCCCACTTTTTTTTTTTTTTTTGCAGAAAGAACACCTACAGGAAAAACCAACCGCAGTAAGATCCATCAGAGAAAGAACAGCCGAAAGAAGAACCACTCGCTTTTTTTTTTTGTTTTGCAGGAAAAACACCCGAAGAAAAACCACCCACAAGATCTACCTGAAGAAAGACCCACTCGAAGGTACCTGAAGAAAGACCCACTCGAAGGTACCTGAAGAAAGACGCACTCGAAAGTACCTGAAGAAAGACGCACTCGTAGGTACCTGAAGAAAGACCCGCTCGAAGGTACCTGAAGAAAGACCCGCTCGAAGGTACCTGAAGAAAGACCCACTCGAAGGAAGATCCACCCATTTTTTTGTTTTGCGGGAATAACATCCGCAAACCACCCGCAGAATGATCCACCCGAAAAAAAACCATTCGAAGGAAAAGCATCCGAAACAAGAACCGCCCACTTTTGTTTTTTTTGCAGAAAGAACACCCACAGGAAAAACCAACCGCAGGAAGATCCATCAGAGAAAGAACAGCCGAAGGAAGAACCACCCGCTTTTTTTTTTGTTTTGCAGGAAGAACACCCGCAGAAAAACCACCCACGAGATCTACCTGAAGAAAGACCATTCGGAGGAAGAACACCCGAAGGAAGATCCACCTATTTTTTTTTTGTTTTGCAGGAAGAACACCCATAGGAAGATCGATCCGAAAGAAGATCCACCCGAAGGAAGATCCACCTACGTTTGTTTGTTTTGCAAGAACACGCAGGAAGAACACCCGCAGGAAAACACTCATAGGAAGATCGATCCGAAAGAAGATCCACCCGAAGGAGATCCACCTACGTTTGTTTGTTTTGCAAGAACACGCAGGAAGAACACTCGCAGGAAAACACCCAGGAAGATCGATCCGAAAGAAGATCCACCTACGTTTGTTTGTTTTGCAAGAACACGCAGGAAGAACACCCGCAGGAAAACACCCATAGGAAGATCGATCCGAAAGAAGATCCACCCGAAGGAAGATCCACCTACGTTTTTTTTGCAAGAACACCCGCAGGAAAATTACCCGTAGGAAGATCCACTCGAAGAAAGATCCACCCACTTTTTTTTTTTTTTGCAGGAAGAATACCCGCAGGAAAACCCATCGAAGGAAGAACCACCAGAAGAACCACCCACTTTTTTGTTTTGCCCGCATGAAGATCCACCTGAAGGAAGATCCGCACGAAGGAAAAGCCAACCACTGTTTTTTCTTTGCAGAAAGAATACCCGAAGAAAGAAGCACCCGCCACTCGAAGGAGGCCACCACGCCAGAGAACCATAAATCGGGAACACTTCAGCGGGACAACACCAGAATGGTCATTCGCAACTTCATGCTCAGGTAAGCCCACATTTATTATCATGTTTAGCAATTAATAATGATTTATTTTTACATACCAACCCGTAGACCCTTTTTTTAATTTTTATGGATTTTATAACAGATTTTGTCTTCGCATTTTTTCGTGAGCTTCGTTCCGAATTCTTTTGCTTAATTTTCTTTGGCGAGTTATAGTATGGCTATTGCTGACTTTTTTAATTGTAAAATTATATTGTTAGAATATTATTTTTTGATGCACCTGCATTTAAGTGCACCACTTCAATATCTCAAAATCTTATTAAGTTAACCCCATTTTGTAACATAACCAAAAACGTTTCTTATATTATTGGGATTTAAAGGCCACATATAGCTGTCGACGGTCTGGTTATTAGGGCTTTTTTTCCTCTGGTTATATCTAAGGATATTTCTAAGTTCTAAAGTCCAATAATCCTTGTATAGGGCAAGCACTTGCTATACCCGACCCATACAAACTGGACAATAGGTTTAACCCCGAACACAATTGCCTATTGCTAAATCCTTATAGTATCTTGGAGGCTATTGAATTTAAATCTTATTTTAATTCTTTTCTTATCTTTCTTTTTTTTTTATTCCCTTTAATTAAAAAAATCTTCTACTTGACACTCATATACACCTTTCAACAAGGATAGGGCCTCTGAACTTAGTAGTTTCAACTAAGCTCTAAGTTTCCCTACTATATTCATGCATAAAATTTCCTGAGAAAGGGTTTTGAGAAGTCATAAATCTTTCAAAATTTTCCCTTTTATGGCCTGTTTTCATTTGAAAACCAGCAGGGTTATATCGTAAAGAATGATACAAGAAAGTTGGTGATATAGTAACAATTTACGATATAACACTCTTTGTTTACCATTGGTTCGCTATCAAAGGCCTTAAAAATGCGAATCACTTTATCAATGACTGGTGCATCATTGATATCGTATTTTATCATTTTAAGATAAATGAATTAAAAACATAACCGAATACACATTTTTAAAATCGTTATTTCTTGATCCCTTTCTTTATAAATTTAGAATGTTTTTATTTCTGTTCCCAATTTAAATTCCTTTTTTGGGCCACAAATGCAAACCTCCTCGTGGTGTGGCCTGGACATTGAATGACTGTTCAATGACTAACTTGCATTATATTATTAATCCACTACGTTAATGATAAAAAACGAAAAATATTAAGATTAATTAAAAAACATAACTAGGGTTCAATTTTACTATGTTAGATCGTGTACTATATATATTGTTTTTAATAAAATATTTTTAATAAAAAATTTAAATTTAAAGAATATTATTTATCTATCGCGTATGATAATAAAATAGATTTACAATTTTTACTATAACGTATCTGCATTTTGTATTGAAATAACCAGTTTTTTCTTTGCTACAAGTTTTCGATAACTTAAACCACATATCAAAAATTTAATATCGAATATAAGTTTTTTATTAAAACACTACACTGTGTACTAAGGCTGAAATAGCGTTGATTTGTTATTTTAATATATAAATGCATATGAGATTAAGCGATATAGTAATTATCCAAACTAAATTGTATTTATGAAAAGGTAAATTACTATTTACTAATTAAATTTTTATATGTATAAACTTTAGTAATAACTAGAAGAATACCTTTTACAAAAAAAGCCAACTCGAAGAAAACCAATTTTCAAAAATAAACGTTATTCTAACCAAAATTTCTCGGAAAAGTAAAAATCGGACCTTTTTTTAGGATCCTGTGCGCTTATGCGGTTGCAAATTGTGCTAACACATGATTAGATTTATAACAAGTTTATTATTCGCAAATTAAAGCATTAAATGGGTTTTTAAAATCTTATAGTGAATGTCTCATTAATGAGAAAGTAAACGAGATCAAAAACGTGACAGGTTTAAAAATGTTGAGATGATTATCCTACATTTTTATTCATTAAAACATTATCAACAGAGTTACGGAATTCTTATTGTTTTGAAAAATTAGATAACCCGATTAATAAAGAAATTTTTATTTATAATCGTATTAAAGCACAGAATTCACCTTAACCGCTTCACATTAGATCACAGAATTTAGTTTTAACCACCGCAGAAATCATCGTCACTAAATATTTAGGAATTTTGCTAGAACAAATTGGTTTTTTTTCGTTGCATGTTACGTGTCTACTTGTTTATGTAGATCTTTTACACGTGATATATTCTATTTAGGGACTGGACTCGTGTTAACTCGTGACTCGCGAGTCAAACTCCGAAGAGTACTCGAATATATTCGAATCATAGA